TGCGGACCGAGGGGTACTTTTGCGTGAGGCGGCGGCAGAAGTCCTCGAAGTGGGCCCAGTAGTCGCGGTTGAAGCCCTCGCCGACCTGCGGGCACATGTTGGTCAGGTAGAAGGTGTCGTCCATGGCCGTCTGCGACCACTTGCAGTCGGCGGCGGGCACCTGGTGCCCCCGGTCGTAGCCCGAGCGCGCGTAGTCCTTGAGACGCGCGCGGAACTTGTCGGGCACGGCGTCGTCCTCACGGAACGCGCTGTTCTTGCGGTCGCCGTCGCGCTTGGCCAGCGACTCGGGCGTGATGTGCTCCACCACCCACTGCGGGTTGCGCAGCCGCCGGTCGAATGACGAGATCAGCGCCTGCCGCGCCGCGATGTCCGACACGGGCCCCGGGAAGCCGTACTCGAAGAGCCCCGACGGGTCGACGAGCGCGCCGAGGGCAGCAGCGGCGACGGGGCTTGTGGTGGTAGTGGTGGTGGTAGTGGTAGCAGCGGCGGTGCCGTTGAAGACTTGAGAGGCGGGGACGGGCAGCTTGAATGCGGCGGTAGTGAGGGTGTTTGTTTTTGTTGTTGTCGTGGTTGTAATGGACTCGATTTTCTTGTCGGAGGACCGCAGCGAATACATAGCGGCTGTGGCGGCAGCTCCGGCTCCGGCGCTCACGGCGGCAATGATGGCTATGGTAGACTTTGACATTGTGAAGATCGCGCGTCTTTCGTCTCAGGAGCGGCAAGTCGCGAATATATAGCGAAGAGCAAAAGGCGTTGCGTGGCTTCGCGCGAGGGAAATCAGGCGGGCGGTCGGCGGTGACTCTGCTGGCGCTCACGGGGGTGGGACGCGACCTCGTGCTGTGCCGAGGGTGGGCTTGGTCGATGTCTTATTATCCTCTGGTCGTGTCGTTGTCGTGGGGCTCAAGTCGAGGCTCTTGACATGGAAGTTACTCTAAGTTGCAGGGTGTCTCGATTTTTTTGCGGCGATCGGATCAGCCACCGTCACAACCCCTGTCACACTTTCCAAGCCTTACGCAGGCACCGGATTCCGGGCTCCGGTACAGCGGCAGGTGGGTGGGGGGAGGGGAAGGGGGGGCTCTCGCATGCCCCGCGTCAGAGCCTCCCAGTGAGCACATGGGCAGTCACGAACCGTGGAAGCCACAATCCCCTCGGTCATGGGAGCGAGACATGGTCCAAAAGGGTCGGGTGGTTTCCTGCAAGGAACCGTGACACGCTGCTAATACTGTCTTGGGATCTGTAATAGCAATAGGGGCCAGATTTGTTGCCTGCTGGACGTCGCAGGGTGTATTTACGCAGTAGGTCTTGCTGTCCACTGGACGTGGTAACTACCTTAGTCACACATGCAAATTTCAAAAGGGATTTGAAGACTCTTTCAAGGTGACTGTGAATTGAAATATGAAGACCATAACAGTATTTACATATTCCCTTCAAGAAGCTACGGAGTACGGAATACCCTACCCTGCCAGTGCTGATCTTTGCATTGTGTGAGGCGTAACAGGGCTGGCCAAGTGCGACCCGGGGCGAGGCGACAGGCAAACGGCAGCCCTGTATATCCGTACTGCGTATTACCGCCGACATGCATTTCCCATGTTCCCGTCCCGGCGGCGTCGGGTCTCACTCTTTCTCTCTTCACGACCACCCGGCCTCGCCTCACGGCACAGACAGCTTAAAAAACCACCCTAGACGCCGCACAACCCGTACCCGGGCAGGCCAACGCCGCCCCGCCCTCTGTTGACCGCGTTTCGAATATTGAAAGAGCAGACGGGCCAATGCACTACTGAGCCCGCAAGCCACGCGCAGAGTCAAAACGTCCAACCTGCACGGCGACGACCTGACGTCTACTTCGCGTCACTGTCAAGAGCTCGTCAGGAGGCCAAGAACTGTCCGACTAAGGCAGGCGTGGCCCACTAATTACCTAACGTCGCGGCAGTGAAGGCGGATACCCGGAGGATACCTTAACTCGGAAGGTTTGGCTAGGGTAGCGAACGACCTTGAGGAGCTCGGCAGGTGGTACGACGTTCCTGTACTCTGTCTGCACTAGGCAGACCCAGTCCTTGGCCACCCCGACCTGTCTGGTGGACGGTCTGAGCTTGCGAGGCCTGGCCATCGAGGTTCTCACTTCTCACACCGCACCACCGCGCCTTTCATCTTGCGACTTACCCTACCTATCAAGGTACCTTCCAAGTTCTTGGGTTACCTATTTACCTCCCGAGTACTTCCATCCCGCTTTCCCGCCTTCCGCCTCCCGCTCTTTGTCCAAACATCGTACAGCATACACAGTACATTTCAGTTCGAGGGCGCCTGCCATTCTCTTCTCCGCCCGCAGCTCTGTTATTCAAACGCGGGCATTGTTGTCGTCACGGACGGACCAGCCCACGAGCACAGCAGCTACAAGAAAAGTGTTAGCCTCCTCCTGTCCTAAGAATCAACGGCGCAGAACGTCTAGACCTAGAGTCGCAAACCTCGCCAGAACCTACCAAGGCCACCACCACGTCGCGGGGTCGCAGCGTCGCAGGGAGACGTCGTTGCCATGGAGGACGCAGGCGGCGTTGACAATGACACGCGAGGCTGGATCATGGCCTCGGTCAGCGGCATAGCCTGTGTCGTTGGCGCGTCCATCATTTGCGTCGACTCTCTCGTTCGCCTCATACCCAGCAAGCGCCAGTTCCGCATCCAGGAGAGCAGCATGTTTCTCGCATGCTCGCTCAGCCTGAGCTTTGGCGTCATGGTTAGTCCCAGTCCTTCCTGTCGCCAGCTCCAGCGCTCTTCTTGACTGTCGCCGTCCCCGTTCTGACCCGGCACGCTCGCAGCTTTTCTCGGCATTGTATAGTATGCTGCCGTCGTCCATGCACTATCTGATTAAGGGGGAGTGGGACCGGCAGATGGCCGGCTTCGTCATGATGGGCTCCTTCGTCAGCGGCTTCTTCGGCATCCAGATCATCTCGCGCCTCTTGCACCAGTACATGCCCTCGCATGTTGTCGACTGCGACCACACCCATCTTGACCACGTCGACGAGGACCACTCGAGTTCGCTCAGCCACCAGCATTCGAGGACGAGTAGGAGTCGACAACGGTCCATGCGCAGGGTATCCTCGCACTCGGCTACCGCGCGACCGCCTCACATGGTCGAGGTCGGAAATGCTACCGTGACAGAGTCGACGCCGCTGCTAGCCACCGTTGAGGCCGACCACAACGCACAGCCCGACGTCGTTGCCCACTCCCACGGCCCGTCAAAGGATACACGCAGCCGAGCTCCCACGCAAAACAGACGGCCGTCGGTGCCTTCTCACGTCCAACACCGCGTCATGTCCTTCGTCAAGGACACCAAGCCTAATTGCGACGAGTTTGGCCCATGCTACGGCTATTCAGATCCATGTGGGCAAGAGTGCTTCAAGCATATCACGCGCTCTGGTCTTTCTCGAAATCCCACTCTCCTGCGCACCACCACAGGCACCACCATACAAAACCAGACCACGTCTGTCTCTGAGGTCCCTGGAGGCCACGAGGATGACGAGGGCTCTCTGACGAGTCCAGGAATCTACCGTATCAGCCGCGCCCAGTCCCGAGACTCGGCGCCGGGGCACCACGACGATTGCGATTCCCACACACACCTCGCCCACAGTGACGACGATAGTGTCGCCGCCGGCGAGTGCTTGTCTCCAATGCAAGACGACTTGGAGGCGCAACATCACCACCACGTACCTACCAATGCGTTCCTCTCCATAGGCCTGCAGACGGTCATCGCCATTGCGCTTCACAAGTTCCCCGAGGGCTTCATCACGTACGCCACCAACCACGCCAGCCCAGCGCTCGGGTTTAACGTATTCATGGCTCTGTTTGTGCACAACATCGCCGAGGGCTTCGCGCTGGCGCTGCCTCTCTACATGGCCCTGGGCAGCCGCCTCAAGGCCCTGCTCTGGTCCACCCTGCTCGGCGGCTTCAGCCAGCCCCTCGGCGCCGGAGCCGCCGCCCTGTGGTTCAAGCTCGCCAACCACTCGCACTTTGACATCGACAACACGGCCTACGCCTGTCTCTTTGCCGTCACGGCGGGCATCATGACAAGCGTCGCCCTGCAGCTGTTTGTCGAGAGCCTGAGCTTAAACCATAACAGGAATTTGAGCATCTTCTTTGGCTTCCTGGGCATGACGATTCTTGGCGTCAGCAATGCGATTGTAGCCGACTGATTGCGGATAGGCGGCTGACATTTCTGATACTTTGCGGGTTTGGGCTATGGCGTGTCGGTTCATGTTTGGCATTACCAGCAACATTGGCAACTGGCACGTTGTCTGTGTGTGTTTTTTTCTTTAGGGACAAGAACTAGAAATGAAACGGAGTACGTTAGGAAGGTAAAGGTTCGTTCATGTTCTCTAATGGATTGGCGAGCGAGCGAGGAAATGGGGCCGTGGGTATTGCCGTTCTCTTTTTGGCGAGGGCATAAACGGCTGTAAAAAAAGATGCAAAGGACCGACCAACATAGAGTCTGGTAAATAGTGTGACTAGGTGGCATCGTGGTAGACAATAGAATGTCCTCATGAACCTAGACTTTGACGATGCAGTATTACAGAGCGTGTGATATACTCCTTTCCAGCCCTGTCACCGCAAAAGTGTTAACCGCCTCAACGTGGGATTCCTTTTCATTGGGGCTGTTACCCTGTTTAGATTATGCCGTAACAAGAGATAAACATTATGTGGTTCAAAACTGAAGCCATTACAAGAACCCTTAATTTAGGCGTCACCAAACACAGCTGAGGTTGCAAAGTCATACGAGCAAACCAAAACTGAACTCACCCCATCCATCCATCCATCTACAGTATCCATCCCCACCCAAGTTCCAACCGTGCAGAAAGCTTAAAATAAAGTAAAACTAAACAAGAAAAGAGGAAAAGACGCCTCCGTTTCCCCCCATATCATATCCACCTACGAACTCTTACAGTACTTAATCCAGCACAAGCAAGACGTTCCACATCGAAACACCTCACTTGTCCACGGTGAAGAAAACAGCCTGATTAGCATAGTGGCTAATGCGTTGCACTTGTATCCCGTGCCCCATCCCTTGGGTCGTCGACGACATGCAAAGATCACAGGTTCGATTCCTGTATCAGGCAACTAAGCAAGCATAATATTTCTGCAGTTCTACGAACCTAAACCGAATTATTACTTTTTTGCATGTTTCTTTTTTGGTCCTTCAGTTACCCCCCCCCCTTCTTTGCTTTTTCGTTGTGGAATGCAAAACAAACCTATCGCCGACCACTTACTGCATGCATGTCTGCAACTGCCACGACGAGCCAACGGCGACGGACGACTGCACCACGATAGTCACCCGTCCCATGCCACCTCCACACAGGAAAAAACCAAACAGGCCTCAGCATATCGCCAATCGCAAAGAATGTTTCTATTAGAGTACAGTATAATCTAAACAGCGTAACATCCCAACCCAAAGGTTCCGCAGAGATTAGAGACAGCTGCTGCCTCCAATAACAATAATAATAATAGAAACCTCTTCCTCTCTCCCCCTTCGCTGCTCCCCTAACCAGAGCCGACCCGCAATAAAAAGAAAAACTCCGAAACACTCGCCGCCCGCCACAAACGGTCGTTCCAATCGCTCTTCCTCTCATCTCCTACTCAGCAAGGTATTTACCCGTGTCCCCCTTTCTCTGCCCTATCCCATCGTGCGCCCAGAAAATCATCGAGTCGTAAAAAAAGTGATCCGCCTTCGGAACAACAACCGCTTGCATCCGGCAAACCAGATGGGGAGAATAGAAGGGGAAAAAAAGGCGACAAGTACACCCCTCAACCCCGTTGTAACGCCGTTGTGGATCAGTTGCGCAGACATATACATTAAAAACGGGCAAGCAAATTACCGCCACCACCTTTCGTCTTTTTTCAGTCCTCATCGCTCTGTACACCGCTGCTTCCGCCGTTTATTTGGCTGGCACCGTTTGAGTTGGACACGAGCTTGATCCTGGTCGGCCCGCTGGGGGTGGGTTGAGGAGTGGCCGACATGGCCGACATGGTCGAGGGAGGAGCCGATGTGTCCTTTGGCGGCGAACCTTCTTCTAGGCTGCGGAGGTCGGCGTTTTCTGCGAGCTCCCTCTCAAACTGCGCCTTAAAGAATGCCTGGTTACCCAGCAAAGTTAGTAACAACCCCACCGTAAAGTCTAGATTAGACTATGGCAGACATACCTGTATCGTGTTGGCATCGACGCAAATTCCGCTGCTCTCCTCATTGAAGGTTCGGCAGTTGTTCACCAAAAGCTCCAGGTCCTTACGCATGGCCGCCAGGCTGTGGTACTCTTCCTTCTTGATTTTCTTCTGGATGTCGCTCATGCAGATGGGGTTCTGGATGATAAGGTAGTAGTCGCCCCAGTCTCGTTTTGGCGGCAGTTTGACAAACGGCCCAATGACCAGGCGTTTCGGCGGCCCGTCTTCGTCGTCCTTCTCGCCCTCGGGTTTCTCCTCGGGCTCTTCATCGTCTACCTCGAGATTCATCAAGCCGTCATAGATCTTCTTCAAGCTCCGCTGCAGCTTGTCACGGACCTCGGCCGACATGCCTGCGCCGTTCGCAGCAACCGATTTTGGCCGGCCAAGAGGGCCACGACGCTTCTTTGCCGGTGGCTCGTCTTCACCTTCTTCTGCTTTTCGCTTCTCGATGTTCTTACTGCCAGGCTTGCGGCCCCGTTTCTTCACCGGTGTCTCGACATCCTCGGTACTAGCGCGGCTGGCGGACGGTGAATTCTCCATGGACGCAACCATACCCGAAGCCCTCTTCATCCTGTTGTTCTCCCTCCTGTCTTTACGGGCCTGCTTCCTCGCAGCAGCAGCCTCGGGTGTGTCCTCCTCGTCATCAACCGCATTAAGCCACTGCTCCTCGGTGAGGCCGTCGTCATATTTCACCTTGGTGCGCTCGCGAGCTCCGCGGCCGAGGATCACCTCCGCCTCGTCTTCGACAGGATTTCCTTCAGAAAGATAGATCTCGGGCAGTTCATTCTCAGCCATAAGACGCGGTACACCCTTGCAGCCTGGGAGTGTTCCGTAGACGGGATCACGACTGCGATCCTCGTCCATTTTCTGGAAAACTACGAGCTCGTTCTCACTCCGGGCCAAGATCATGTTCAACTCTTCGTCGTCCATCTCTTCCGGCTCACCAGACTCGGCCATATCAGCCGTCTCCAAGAGCGTTCTGAGCATGGCATCTCGATCCGTTTCTGACGACTTGTTGTCGAAACGACCGGCCTGAATGACCTTGCCATCCATGTCGAGCTTGAATCTGGCACGCTCCAGAATCTTTTCTTCGACTGACGAAGAGCTGATCAGGCGGAGAATCCGCACCTCATTCTTCTGGCCGATACGATGGGCACGATCCTGAGCCTGCAAATCCTGATGAGGATTCCAGTCGGAATCATAAATGATGACAGTATCAGCCGTCTGCAAATTGAGACCCAGGCCACCTGCACGGGTGGAGAGTAGGAAGATGAAATAGGGCGAATCTGGTCGGTTGAAATCTCTGAGAAGGTCAGAGCGGTCCTCAGACTTGGTGGTGCCGTCGAGACGGAGGTACTGGATGTTGCGGTAGCGAAGAAAGTCTTCCATGATATCCATGATGGCCGTCATCTGGAAAAACATCAAGACGCGATGACCGGTCGCCTGGTACTTTGGAAGGATCCTGTCCAAGAGCTCAAACTTGCCCGAGGTTCTCCAGAGAACATCGTTGCTGACATTCATCGGGTTCATCTGGTTCTCCACCTCGTCGAATACGAAAGGATGATTGCAAAGCTTCCGCAGCTGCATGATCATGTTGCTCAAGCCACGAGCTCCCGCCTTGCCACCCTTGCCGTCGCTAACAACAATCTTTTGGTGAGTGACCATCTGCTTGTACAGACGTGATTGCAGGGCCGAGAAATTGCACTTGATGACCTTCTCCGTCTTGTCGGGAAGGTCCTTCTCGACGTCCTTCTTCAGACGACGCAGCAAGAAGGGGCGGAGCACTTTATGGAGACGGCGAATGACGAGAATTTGTTCTTCTTCTGTGAGCTCCATCTTGTCCTGGCCGCCGGTATTGGCAAAGGGCGTGTTGAACCAGTCATCGAAAGTCTTGGCCGACTTGAAGATGTTGGGGAGGACAAAGTTGAGCATGGCCCACAGTTCTGCCAGATTGTTCTGGAGAGGGGTACCGGTGAGGATGAGGCGGAACCGGGTGCTGTAGTATTGCTGAATGGTGAAGCTCAACTTGGAATTTGAGTTTTTCATACGGTGACCCTCGTCGATGATCATGTGGAACCACTTGATCTTGCTCAGAAGCGGCCGGTCCTTGATAACATATTCGTAAGTTGTGAGGAGGACCTGGAATTTGCCCTGGCGAATCTTCTCCTGTTGCAGCTTCCTGGTATTTGGAGGACCCTTGTAGACGATCTTGGATACACCAGGTGCCCATTTGTCGAACTCGAGATTCCAGTTGGTCAGGGTGCTGAGCGGGACTATGACCAGGTACGGCCCGTTTTGCTGTTTCCTCTCAATCAGGTACGTCACTAGGCTAATGGTTTGAATTGTCTTGCCCAAGCCCATTTCGTCGGCTAGAATACCGTTGAGGTTGTTGTTGTAAAGCGAAATCATCCACTGCAAACCCTTGATCTGGTACTCCTTGAGGGTTCCTCCGACGAGAAGGTCAGCTTGTCCGGTAACTTCTTCCTTGTGCCTGTGAGCAACGGCATAGTAGTCGATCTTCCGGCCACTTTCTCCCTCATCCTCCTCAATGTCGCTCTCCTCTGGAAGCACTGTCCCCTCCTCTGCATACTTCTCTTCTGCCTGTCGCTGTTGTGCGCGGACGGAAGAGGCAAGTTGATGCAGGAAGCCATCAGTCTGGCGAAGGAGATGGGTGATACGAGTATCCTTGGCTTGGTCGAGCAGCTTAAGGTAAGCCTCTTCATCGTTGGCTTTCAAGGCCTGGAGACGTTGCTTCGCCGTCTTCTCAACCCTCTTCTGCTCCTCCTTCTCGATATTGAAGTGGTGAGCATACATGAGGCGGCCCATCTTCTCCATCTTGTTGCGGCGAGTCTGGCCCGAGTTAAGAATTTCAACTTTGTGGGAATGAACAGCCTGCAAGAAATCGATGTGCTTCTTGCGCTCTCGGCTTTCGCGTGCATCGCGCTGTTGCTTTTCGAGCTTTTCGGTGATGCGAGCCTCCCTCACACTCTGCTTCTTCATCCGGCGATACTGTGACCGGTTTGTCGTCATGGCAAGGTTGTCGTAATGCATCATCTGCTTCCCGATCTTGTCCCTCAAAGCCCGCTGCTTGGAATAGAGGGCCAGCGACTTCATCTCGATAATGGCCTTCCGCTTCGCCGTATCGTCGGCCACAAGAGCGTCCTTTGTCGTGTCCCAGTGAGCCAAATTACCAGGAAGGCTTTTCAGTTCCGAGTATCTGGCGCTCATGCGGTTGAACACGATTTTCTCTCGATCATTCCGAAGTTGATCAAAATCGATGCCAGTGGGGAATATGCCGGGTATAATTAAACGGTTCTTGCGCCGGCCATGATCCATGTAGTTGATATTCTTGCGCACGAGGCTGCCATCGTAAGGGGACTTAACTGTCTTGAAGTTCTTGGCTGCTTTGGGGTTTGGCGCGACTTCACCATCGGCAGTACCATTGACGTCAGGCTTGGACGCATCCTGGGCCGGCGTTGCAGCTGATGCGTTCGCAGCAGAGACCTGGGCGGCGTGTTCAGTCAACGAGGCATGGCGTCGGGCCCGGCTTTCGTAGATGGCTTTTTGCATCTGCAGAGGCACGCCGGCATTCTTGCCAAGCATTTTGAAGGCCTGTATTTGGGACCGCAGGAGAGTTAACTGTTGCGGTGTGAACTGGCTTGGGCCATGACCCTGGGTAGAGGATGCGCCGGCTGAATTTGGCGCCGAGGCATTCGAAGGAGCTGGTAGAGCAGAAGCGCCGAGGGCGGTGGCCGATAAGGGCTGTCCCGTCTGCAGAGGGGCCTGTTGAGGAAGACGACCGGGCGGGACACCATTGGTGACACCGTTAACGCCATTCTGCATATGCTGCTGCTGTTGTTGTTGTTGTTGTTGTTGCTGCTGCTGCTGCTGTTGCTGCTGCTGT